ATTGTCCAGTGGCATTAAGTACCGTAATGTGCACCTCTGCTTACTTCTTCGGGATAAAACGCGTGATGTTATAATATGTTATGCAAACAAGTATTGAGTTTTTCGATATTCAGAATTTTTAATTATAACATAGTTTTAGTACATAGCAATAATATTGTTCACTATTGCGATTGCGATTAACAATATAGCTATGTTATGAGTTTGTAGTCTTGAATAATAAAATTGATTCTTCTATTATTTGAACTTTTATTTAATTTCACAACATAATTATATTTATTATCGTAATAAGGTAAATAGATAAATATAATTAATAGTACTCACAATCTTCTTGAAGAACTTCCATCTCGGTTCTGGCGCGGCGCTGACTGCGCTCAAAGCGACCAGACAAGCGAAAACAAATAAAAACACACGAGAGAATTTCATCTTTACTATTATTATGTTAAAATAATAATGCTATTTAATAACCAAATTGCACTGCAGTTGATACACAACGAATGATGCTCTACCAAGATTAATGACAAATATATACTAAACTTTAAAAAACAACACCAATTTTATTTTACCATTTATTCATCTCCTTTTATTTGAATTTTAGACCTTAAACGACTTGAAATAAGAATTACAGGTTTAATTTTTTACCAGCAAAACGAGTTTTTGATAACTGTTTCTCAGTTAATTAGTTTTGAACGAACATCGGGACGTTGCCTGTGAAGTCCCTTATCCAGTGTGTTTATCATGTTCAGGTTTATTTTAGTATATTGTTTATATTTACATTATGATTGCGCATTGCGAACCAAATGGTTCTCAGATTTATTTATTAATCGTTTTTATACGCATAGATTTATTAAGATATAAATGTTATGGATAAGTTCTTGTTAGTGATGGTAAAAGTGCGATCATTAAATAGAATAGGTACGCGATTCTAGTGAAACTGATTATTTTTTAGTTATAGTTTTTTAAACTTGTTTCCTGAATCATATTCCCAAGTATTGTCGTTTGTATAACTATTAAAACTAGATACCTGTTAAAATGTAGTCAGCGTTAGAATGCTTACTTTATTATTGTCTTTTATTAACTGTAGTTGGAATAGGAGGCAGATTGTAAATTATAATAAACAAAAAGAGGATTAGAGGATTGGAGAATATAAGGTTCAGAAGTTTAAAAAATATCGTAATACTTACACGATAGTAAACAATAATGCATTTATCTATGTACACAATAAGAAAATTGTTAAAGATGATTAAGAAAACGCGTCCAAGTAACTCGAAGCCTACTTTTATAATGTTGCATTGTCAAGTGCACCACTGCGTATGTCATGCGTAGCATCTTCAAGTAGAAGATGTTTGTTATGATGAAATAATGACGTACCTAAATAAATACTTAACAAAAGTATGCCAAGACTTCTTCAGATACTTCAGGTACAACTTGAAATTGATAATTTTCAAAATAAGATCAAGCTGTATCAATATTGCAATACGTTGCTTGATCAATTCCTCGATACAATCAA